CCTAACCCTAACCCTAACCCTAACCCTAACCCTAACCCTAACCCTAACCCTAACCCTAACCCTAACCCTAACCCTAACCCTAGAGCGCTCGTCGCTCCGGGCGACCCAACTGTCACGTAATTATAACCAAAGGAAATCCCTGGATCGCTTAGCTAGCCTAGCTGATCCCTATTTGCTATAAGTCTACGGATGTGCTTGAACTGAGGAATCGGAATCGATCAGGGCGATGAGCACTGATCCGCGAGAACGAAGGTTCTATATAATACTGGCACGTCTGCCATTAGATAGGAGCTTCGTGCTCAACTTAGTTATCAATCTTATCATATTAGTTTGACATCTTTGATACAAGTAACGAGTTCACTTCCAAGTGAACAACCCGATAGTCTTCTTCTTATCATAGCATACCAACCAGCGAACACCCAGCCAAGTTTAGTTAGCCAGTTTGAGTATTCGTTACAATATAGTTCCTAGGAACAAGGCGTCCTTTTAGTACGTGAATTCATAATATTTAATCTTAACGACTTTATTACTATAAGAGTATTAGGTATAATAAACGATAGTAAAACTAAGCGAAGTACACCTAGGTACTAAAAAGAATACTATCTCTAACACCCACTTATTATAAACACACGACAAAGTCACAAGATAGTAATCAAGTCCTCCAATCCAACACAACCTAATCCCAAGAAACTTTAGTCTATCCCTCTTCCCCCTTCCCCCTCTCCCTACCATAATAGAACTTACAAGCGAAAACTTACATCCAACCAGCCAAGCAAAGGTAAATCTCTCTACACACCTAAAAGCCCCAACCACCTCACTTCTACCACCCCAGCAGTACTACCCAACCTTACAGTAGTAAAAAGTCAGCACCCGGGAACATTCTTAACCCCAGCGCAGAGGTTTCCCGCAAATAAATCACCTATCACAAATCACAGTATCACAGCCCAGATAACAAACAGGGAAAGAGTGATCAAACGATCTCCCAGCAAGTGAAGGGGGCAGAAAAAAAGGCACCAATAGAATTCCACGCCATCCATTCCTTCATCCATCCACACACACGCTTCGAATACTAAACTAAAAAAACCCGGAAGGGCCAGGCGAGCAGAAAAGAATATCACAAGGAGACACAAACGCCGCCTATCAAAAACACCATACACAGACACAGACACAGACACACGAGACATTCAACAAAAAAAGGTAGACGTGAACTCGGGAAAAAAGACATGCATATACCACTTCCACCACCCCACCCCCAATCACGCTCGCTATAGAGAACTCAAGAGATCTCCAGATTTCAAAAAAGACAAGAAAACAGAAGAAGCCGCTAGAACAATCCCGCATCGCGCATCCCATCGCCCCCGATCCACACTCATACCCCATCCTTCTTTCCTCGTCTTCTCCCATGCAACCATCCCTCCTTCAACACAAAAAAGGGATCTCAAAAATTCAACGCAAAATATAAAAGTTTCCCCCACACCCCCAGATTTCTTTTGGCTTGTCCCATACACCTAGACAACCCCAAAAAAACAGAGAAACACCGATTTCCCCATACATTCCCATTCATTCAAAGGTGCTAAATGAATACACGAGAAGCAGAAAAAGCAGACCCCGAACCTATAATGCAGCGAAAACGAGAGGTAGAAAAAAAATCAAAAAAAGAGCCATCCTCAGCCAGCAATCTTTTCTTTTTCTTTCCAATCCAGAGTTTCTTAATCCCTCCGACGACTGGAAGGTCCAAAATCTGGTTCCACATGCACCTTCTTCTCCTTTCTCCCCTTGATCGTGAATTCTCCTGCGATTAAAAGATGGTCACTTGGAAAGTGATGGTTGGGAAACCCGGGCACCGTCTTCATGTACTCGGGGTCCACGCTGCCGAGTAACGAAGTGAGTTCAATAGTGTTTGTAGAATACCAGACATGATCGATAACATCGGCAAAACTGGGCGTGTAATTGGTGAACGTTAACCGATCTGGAGTCTTTTCGATGGACGAGTAAGCAGAACGTAGTTGGAACGGATGTTCAATGCCATGCTTGCTGAAATTACCGTATTGGTGTTCTTTGAGCTCTCGGTGTGATGCCTTGACGCTTCCCTTGGACAACAATTCGTACACACTCGAATCGCTCGTAGAGTTGAGATCACCACAAATTAGTAGAGGGATCTGGGTGTTACTCGAATATTCCTGCGAGGGAGCAAAGTCTGCAACCTCTGTCTCTGGGCGACCATTTTCGTCCACCAACCCAGCTCTCTTCTCCTTTTCGTTACTTGGTGGCTTCTTCGAGTACTTTTCGGCAAGTTTGGTCACGTTCTCTACTAGAATGGCCATCTGGATTAATTTGACGTCAGCATACACAGGGTCCCAGTGCAGATGAGTATTGACAATCATAATTCTGGATCCGGTCATTCGATTCTCTAGGAAGGCTACAACGGCGATATTGTCTCGAGGCATAACACGATTGAAGATGTCTGTCTGTAGCTTCATATCTGGTCGATTGATAGCAATGTTTGCCATGTCAATCAATTGCTTCTCCAGAAGAATGTATTTGCTGCCCTTGTAGAAGATTGCACAGCCATCCACGCGTTTGGCGTCTGCTTCCTTCATAGTTTTCGAGCGTGATTTTGCCCAATGAATCCCCTTGTAATCGTTGTAGGCAAGCTTTGGGCTCAGAAATTCATATTGTGTATCAGTATCAACCTCCTGAAGACAGATGACATCAGCATCCAAATCCTGAATCTCCTTCAAAACTTGCTCCCTTCGATATTCCCACTCAAGAGCAGCCGACGGAGTGAATCCGTATAATTGGGTGGTACAAGCTCGATCGCAAAGAATGTTGTATGACGCCACCTTGATCTTCTCCTGGTTATTATTTGGCACACCGTCTTGGAGGGCGATCCATTTTCGTTCTTGGGGAGGCAGAGGAACTGGAAAGAATTAGTTGACTCCTGACATGACACATCAATTATAACTTGCCTTGAGCTCCTTCTCGGAGATCCTTGATAAGCTCCTTTGTGCCTTTCTCGCTGATCACCTGCTTGTATTCTGGGGCTAGGTGAGGGTTTCCTTCAATCCCCAATACCTCCAATTGATATAAGGACCCTAATTCTTCTGGGATTCGTTCGATTCGGTTATTGAAGACCAGCAGATTCTTCAGATAGACGCACATGCTGAGCTCCTGAGGTAGTTCGGTCAGAAGGTTGTAAGAGGCATCCAGGTGTTTCAAATGCCGTAATTGTCCAATGGAGGCTGGGAGGTGGGTGATCTTGTTGGAGGCCACATAGAGCTCGTTGAGAAAGACATAATTGAAGAGGGGATTGGCAAGCACTTTGAGGCCTTGCCCACTCAGATCCATATTATGCCAATCCTGACGTTTGACACTCTCCTGTCTGTATGGCCGCCCCCTCTCATCATTGTCTTCATCTTGAGCCACAACAGCATCTACGCTCGATGCTGCTGCCAAACCTCGATTCTCCCCAGCTCTCTGCCTTGCAAAATGGTTCGGGGCATTATGATCCACCATCTGCTGATTGGCAGTTTCTGACTCCTTGTGTAATCTCATTTGTTCTGCCCAGTGTTCACTGATAATCTGTGCTTGCCCACCTCGTGTTGTTGCCGTATGTCCGTTTTGCAGGCTGTTGGGAGTGAAGCTTGGAGTTGCGTTCGAAAGCACTCCCGATGAGTAATTGGTATGATGGCTCAAGACGGAGCCGTTAGTTGAATGCGTAGCATGGTCCTGCTGAAGATTCGCGTGATGCTGAGGGTGTGGTTGCTGATGAGCATTTTGGTTATAATTGTACATCATCGGTAGCCCTCTCCCTGGGCCTCCATTGACGCGGCCATGCTGCCCTGGCTGTTGGTGGCCCTGGTTAAACATGCCGTACTGAGCTTGTGCTGGCGAAGAGGAGTCAGGAGATCGCGAAGGCGATGGTGTGTCGATAGTGAATGCAGATCGAAGAGTATTTGGAGGGGTGCTGTTTCGGATGATTTGCTGTCTGGTGTGATGGTTCTGTTGGTGTTGCTGGTAAAAGTAATTTCCAGCGCCTTGCTGCAAATATCTATACCCATCGGCCATTCAAAGACGGGGCAAACGCTGCACCAAGGAAGGATGTTCTGTAGATGTTTAAGGTTTAGGTGGGCGGAGGTGGTCTGCAGAGCGGGGATCGGTTCTTTCTTCGTTGGCACATGGGGTTGCTGATATACCGTCTCCTTCGGGGCATCGACTGCCAATATGACCACGAGAGGAATTGGGGGAGTGTAAGGGGTGCGCGAGCGCAGTTGGACGGTTATCGGGCTCTAAGATGTGTTGGGATCGAAGGTTGTCGACGCGGCCGCGTATGGCCAGGAGCTTTGTCGGATTGCTTCAGAAGCAGCAGAAGAGAAGAGAGAGTGACGGGGCCGTCGACAAAGTTCTCGGGAACGTGGAGGGTCAAGGCCTAAGACACGAATTGCTAGATGTCTTCACGATATGAGCTCGAGGCGCAAGAAGATGGACGAAGTTCAAGGCTGGGGGGGGAGGAGGTGGATGGGGTGTCAAGGCTAGGGTACGCAGGCCAATCTGCAGTTAGTCATACCTGGTGAATGGCAAAAACACGTAGAAGATGCTGTAGTGAGGTTGAATGTGAAGTCAAATCTCAGGGGAGCAGGATATTTGTCGAAGTGCTGCTTTTCTGGTTGCCTTTCCAGATCAGGACCTGTACCTACACCTTCCACAGCCTCCTTCCAGACAGATCGGGATGAGCTGCAATCCGCTAATAGCACGTGATCCGGCTGAGCGCGGCGTGCCCGGGCTCGACTCCGGGCCGAGGCCGAGATGGAGCTGCGTGGTCCGATATTTTTCCAACGGGGAAGGCTGATGCCGGTCAGCTTATCTATCACCTTGAACCTCCCCTGGTCGCGCATCTACAAAACATGGACAGAACATGAAGCTATTCCCATTCCTCGCACTGTATGATTCACCTGTACATACAAACCTGTTTTCTATATTCTCTTGTACCCCAAGCTATTCTATCATCTACGGAATCGAGGCAGATCCGTTTTCATCTCATCAAGTGATGTCTCGGAGCCGGTCCCAACCCTACATCAGCGGATGTTTGTGGTGGGAGATTCGCAACGAGGTTTCAAATATGCATCAAACATCCCAGCCAGCCTATATTTCAGCACCTGACAAGCTGCCATCTTCAATCTTCGTATCTTCTCTTTATTCGAGGGTGCAGCATCCCGTCATGCTGGTTGCCGTCTTGATGGTGACACCCGCTGCTGGACGCGTGCTACCGAAGCCCTCTTGAAGATCGATTTCTTCCAAAAAAGAAGCTCAGATCACCAACTGCAGCCTTCCGTGGAGAAATACAGGGAATTGATCTCTTGGGACCTTCGAGTGTCCTTCCATGGGGGCTGGAAATGTTCTCGTCGTCCCGTTGGTCACACCCTCTTCCTTTGTGAGTATATACTTGGCACTTCTCGAAAGACGGGTTTATTGTGAGACCTGGGCTGAGACCTTGGCTTTGCCATGGTCTAACTTGGACGACACTACAGGATTTATTCCGATTATTCTCTTCCTTCTCTTTGCACTACCAGGCTTCCGGCAGACAAGGAAAGTAGCAGGGATTCTTTCTCTTTCATTTAGCGTAAGTTAGTTTCAAATCATTTATATTGTTTAAGTATTTACCTAGAACAATTCCGGGAATTGTCCTATATTTTCAATTAATTGTATTTTTAATTAATCGTTTCGATTCGTTCAAATGAGCTAAGTAATAAAATGGCCTGAAGAAAGTTACGATTGGAGGAAAGAATCCTCTGCTACTTTTCCTGTCCACTGGGAGCCAGTGCTCCTTATATAGGTACTAAGAGCTATCATAGAGCTATTTGATATTACTGGTTGAGTAGTACTCCAAAAAGGATTCTACAGTCAATACGGGTTAAAGTATCGTGGTATCTCACAGAGTATAATTCTTTTCCCAAGCTTCATTCAAATAGCATACCGTACTTTGGTACTGTCAGAAATCCCTTTCAAGGTATCAATGTAAGCTGAACTGAACCATATTTATTTCTACCAAGCCCAGCTGGCTTGCATCACTCGTGCTTGAGATGTAGTTTGTACATCATCAATCATTAAATCATTGGATATAAAAAACCCCCAGGGCCTCATGTTTATTGGGTGGCAAAATGTCCCAATTACCGGGGCAGCTCTGCCGCATCGCGGGGTCGCTTTCAATAATGTTCCATTAGGATTTGGGGAAGGACATGCATCTACTGCCACGTCTCTGCTTGGAATAGAGTGATTTTGGGTAGCTGGCCTGAAGAAAGCACATGGAAGCAGGGAATAAGGACCAAGTGTAGCTGATGGTGCAGTAACTTCACTTCCGACCGAATGCAAGATCCTGGGATTTCCAATGAATCAAAGACCCAAGGCGATCGTCCAGATATGTATCTGATACTTATGGAAATTGCGGCAAGCCATGGTGGCAATCTCTCTCCCAACGGTAGGTAGCGCCGCAGTCGTACTGTCCTTCCCGACCTTCCATATAAGGTTGGACTACCATGGCAAGCAACGAGATGAGATTCGGATAAGAGTTTGTGTGCTATATAAAGCTCCTCGTCCGGCTTGACATTTGACCACGAACGAGCAAACCAACAGAAGAAGCGGATCACCAAAAAGTTTCCCATCCTGTACTCGTACCGTCCACGTCCAAAGGTCGCATGCTCTCTCTTACCCTCTTACCCATGCGGATCTCCGCTTGCTGAGTGGCTTTCGGTGCCCTTGATGCGCCTCGTGCCCCCTCCTTTTTCGCCATCCGGGATATTCGAGGGAGGCCCGTGGTGGACAGCGTTGTATTTGCATCTGGGTATTGCCAAAAAGATCGAATTGTGCAGCCACAGCCGCGACTGACAGGAGGGATATCTCCAATTGCGGTCATTTCTTCCATGGTGGTTGCAGGTGCATTTATACGTGCAATTGTCACGAGCGTGAGCGTGACGTACAGAGTCAGCGGAGGCCGAATCAGAGCAACAGCGAGAAGCTGGAGAATCGGCTAATCCACGCCGCGAGCCTCGAGCCTCGAGCCGCGAGCCGCGAGCCACGACCAACGACCAGTTCCAGCCTGTGGGTGGAGTATCCGGTGGAGTGCAAGTGGACTGACTGGCACAGCCCAGCGACTCAGCGACCGCTACGCTGAATTGCGGGCCGGTTGGCTATTTGAGGAGCGTTTCAACTGTGGCCCACTATGTCTGAGGCGGCTTTTTTCTACAACTTCACCACCCAAATTCCGGACCGCTCCAAAGCACCTTCTGCACATACAAATATCTCGGTCCATTCTCAGGCCCAGCCGGTGCAACACACCAGCGTCTTTCGAAAATCCCATCGGTCCTCCAAGTCCAGCTCGAACTCGAAGTCGAACTCGAACTCGAAATCGACGTCGGACTCGGTCGAGCAGCAGCCAGAATCATTGACCTATTCCACCTCCAATTCCTACTACTTCTCCTCGGTCACAGAGCAGCCCACCACCACCACCTCCACCTCCACCACCACACCTTCAAAGGGAGCGCGCGATCGTATGTATATTCCATCGACGCCTCTCCCTGATTACAAGCACGCCGCCAACCAATCGTCCAAAGCGCGCTCGCAAACCCAGGCGCTCGCGCAGGGCAGCAACCGAAAATCCTCGTCGACCGGTGGCTCCTCGCGAAGCAAACATGCCATCTCCATAGCCGAATCGCCGGCTACCTTCGTCACGCGGAGCGACGCCGTGGGTCGGTCCAGCAGCATCTCCAGCAATACGGCATCCAGTGGGCTGCTGACGGCCGTGACGTCCCACGACGCTGCCCCCGCCGATGTCCTACTCACCAACCCCTTCGTGCTACGCAATGGGCGTCGCTGTCTGCGCGACCCAGCGTATCCGCTGCCCAGTGATCTACATGAGATCCATCGCCAGACGCTGAGGACCATGGTCTTCTGTCAGGTCTTCAATGGGCCGCTTTGCTCGCCGAGTTTTAGGGATCATCCCCCGAAGAAAGTGCTGGATGTTGGCTGTGGGACGGGCTTTTGGAGTATCATGTGTCACCGGCATTTCTCGCAGAAGGGGTGGAATGATGTGTCTTTTACGGGCATGGATCTTGCGCCCCTGGCGCTGACTTTGGATTCAGAAGAGGATATGAATTGGCGTTTCGTGCAGCATGATATTACCAAATGTCCGTGGCCCTTCCAGGACGACTCGTTCGATTTAATCTTCATGAAGGACATGAGTTTCTGCGCTCCCGTGGGGGGAACGCTACAAATCACTCTCATGGATGAGTTTATACGTGTTGTCAAACCTGGGGGCACGGTAGAAGTCTGGGATGGAGATCATGTCATTCGATTACTCTTACCCCACGACGTCCCCTCCGAGACGGAGTCCGCGGATGAAATTACAAATGAGGACCAGGCTCATGCTAATGCCATGGGTGTCTACAAACTCAAGCCGCAAACCCCCCTCGCAGAACCCCAGAATCAATATCTCCTAGACTTCAACAGTTACGTAATCAATGCGCTAGAAGCGAAGAACCTTACATCTATACCTTGTACCTACACCGCCTCCATGCTCCTCCAAGAAGAAGAGCTCATCGATGTCGGCCTGAGGAGACTGGCCATCCCATTAGGTGAAGTGAGGTGGGAGAGGGAAGGCGTAGGCGGGATGAATGGGAAGGGCAAGGAGGGAGAGCGGAGGATCTTGACGCCTGGACAAGCGGCGATAAGGAGGACGGCGCTGTTGACTCTGGTGAATTTCATTGAGAGCATGGAGCCTCTTTTGCGGGCAGCGAGTGGGAAGGGACAGGATGAGTGGGATCGGTGGGGGGAGGCTTTCATGACGGATTTGTTGGGGAATAATGGGACGGAATTCGGCGAGTGTTTGGAGATTGGGGCCTGGTGGGCGAAGAAGAAGAAGAGGTGATTTTGGTAGAAATCTCTTGATCCTTAATAGATTTTTGTTGGATCGGGTCCATCTTATCTGGCGCTTTTTGTGCTGCGGACGTGATAATTTGTGTACCCCTGGCATGTTCCATCATTTGTGCTTGACTGGTTGGGTTTTTCTGGTGTGCTTCCGAAATGTCATGGTAATGGTATATCAGACCTTGCGGAATGGCCATTCCCAAAGTGGGTTATAGTGGTGTGTTCCACCAAGGTAATGTGATATTTTGGACGCAATTATGAGGGTTTGTTATATCGTTGACGCATTGTCCGATATTTTTTGAGGTAGTATCTGTGATGATTAGCTTTTGATCCTTTCCTCCAACATTTTTCGCTAAAGGCTATGAGGAAAATGAGTTGTTGACATGTCCATCGGGAAATATTGGGGTTCATGAAAAATATGTGAGGTACAGAGTTCAGGTGTAAGAGGGCAGCATGGCTGCTGCTTGATCTGGCATGATTTGCAAAAGCTAGGTTAAAATCTCGAGATGCTTCGACCAAAAGGGTCGGTTACTACCGCTTTACTTTCGTGGAATTTGCGTCAACGCACGGAGAACAATGAGCATAGCTTGGTTGCGATAAGAAGCAAATTCTTCTCGGGTAATTTTGTTTTGCCCTTGAACGAAATGATATGCGATGGTTTCTGAGACTCCTTGACGGCTGGGTTTTACTGGATTTGCCCGTGGGAGCTGGAGAGAGCGGGGGTTTTCATCAACATGGAAGGATGATTTGCTGGTGGATGGATGAGATTTGGAACTTACAATGCTTCGATTTCTAGGGATTTTGTTAGTGTTTTTCTTGCTTATTGTTAGGAAGGTGGTTCCAAGATGCCCAGATGTCAGATGTTCAACGACGTACAGGTAGGATGGGTATGAAATATGTAAATATGTGAAATGTAACACCTGAAATAAAACATACCCTTCTTCACAAACCCCGCTCGCTCAATTCCTCTCTCTATCTCCTCCTCGGAAGTCAGTCGCGCGTTACTGATGAATGCTTTATGTAAGCGTTGACGGAAGTATTCGTAGCCCAAGGGATAGGCACGCCCCAAGTAGAGAAGCTCTTTCACTCGTTAGAACTCGTGCAATGAAAGTGTCTTGTCAAGTAAATAAAAAGAGGAGTTCAGAAAGGGGAGATGATATTACCTTTGTAGATATGTATTACTTGACTGCGTAGTGCTGGATTTCTAGAGGTCATGATTGTAAATGCAGGTGGTGTTCACTGTGTTTGGTTCATTACAGATCAGGTCACATACTGGCGCATCTGCACCTAGCAATCGTGGTCAAGGCAAGACGTCATCTTTCCTGCCTTGACGCTGAGGCAGAAAAGCAGCTGCCGTACGACTGTCTAATTGAGCCCCAACCACACCTGCACTATCTCCACCTGCACATCAACACCACAACTACGGTTTACTCACACAGTATGCGAATACTGCGCCCAGGTCTATCACGACCTCTCGTGCGCTCCATCCGAACATCATGTCACGCTAATCCACGACCTCCAGGTACACGACATCTTCGTGGTCATCTTGGTCGTCTTCGATTTCGCACACACATTGAAGCTGCATCCAAGGTTGGCGTAGCCCTTGACCAACAAACCATCTTGAACCTGCACCTTCGTGTCTTTGACCCCAATTTTCTGACAATCCAGCCCTTAGGGCCCAGATATGTTGCGGATTGCAGGGCTCGTTTTGGGAAATGTATCTCCTTTGGCATCCCCTTTGCCCCCCCGGAACCAGTTGGAGATGGCGAACCATTACCCAAATTTGATGCGAGAAGTCTCATTCATGATCTGGGCGTCCACCTTGGGCGGCGGTGGCGGCGGCTGGTCACTTCTGACTCTCCTTATGCGAAGACAGAAAGCATCCGTTGGGGAGACATAGATGGTACGGTGGGTAATACAACTCTACTCCTCTTTTGGGCATAACGTGTAATGCTCTTGGCCAAGTAAAGCGTAAGCTCCGTTCAATAATGTAACTAACTCTAAACAGGGCCATGTAAACAACAAGCACTATTTCACGTGGGCTGAAAACGCGCGCATGCGGTGGACGCGTGAGCTGAAGACTGCTAAGGGAGAGATGAGCAAGGAGTGGCAGAAGATGTGGACGTTAAAGGGGACAGGTCTAATTGTGAGGAGTACTAAAATGGATTACAAATTCGTTTGTTCACCTTGGTATCCTGATCCTTCTGCTTCTGATTGCTAACCCCATTCACTCCAGCCTTTGACCTTTTCAGATAAAGTCATTGTATACTCTAGGCTGCGCTCCCTTCCTAAACCCACCGATACCTCATTTGTGCTCGAGACCTCAATTATATCTAATCGTCACCAACGCGTAGCTGCGCGTTGCGAGGAGGAGATCGTGGTGTACGACTACACAAAGAAGAGACAGACCCCCTTTCCGCCGCAGATGACGGAGGCTTTGGAGAATTTTTGGTTGGAGCAAGAAAAGTGCCAACGCACTGTTCGTGGTGTTCTATTTGCCTTGGAGTTACGCCTTATGATATTGGAGAAGTTGACTTGGGATCGGGATGGGGCCGTGGAAGACTTTGGACGCTGAATAGTGTGGCATAAGTCAAAGTGGTTGGAGATGCGTGTTCAGCTAGACATCAATGTTCGGGATTGTATGCAAAACCCGAGTTCTTCGACTAATAAGAATAATAGGTGCGCTCGGTACACACTTGGTCTGTAGTACATCACCTTTCGACGACGCCGAGAACCACATGGTGTGCCGTGTGAAGCTTGATATATACTCGTCATGAAATAAATCGGTATGTGAGAACACGTTTACTCTGCCTTACGAGAAGATCTATGACTAGCAAATTGACTATCAGGTCACGTCGAAACATTCCTCTAGATACCGGGCCAGTTATGAAACGTGTCAGCTATCGTTCCTGTGTACAGGTTTTCAGAAGCCCTGGACTCGATCTTCCCATCGGGTATCGCATACAAAGAGCTATAAACGTCAGCTACCCTCCGCCTCCTTTGTAGTAGGATTTGAAAGTCGCGACTTTGGGTTCGGAAACCCTTGAGGATCGTTAATTCTAGACTCTTTGAGGATGGTGCGGGTAATCTTTTGTGTCTTTTTGGATATCAGATAAGCTACCAAGTATATGCCTTTTGAATTCTAAGGCAAGTTCCTTAGTCTCTAGGCTTTTATAGGTTGCTTATTTTCTCGGAATTACCTTGAAAAGTCTTCATAGAGCCTCGGCAGGTAAGCTATATCTACTAGTCAGCCTTAGGGTATATATAAATTAAATCTTTATAGTGAAATACGTTTTTATTTATAGTAAGATTTATAATTAACTAATTAGAGAATTAATAATTTTCGAATTAATTTTTTATTTTTTAGATTCTTAGGCTAACTACTTAAGTAGTTAGTTATACTAAGGTAAATACTTACTAAGATAAATAATTTAGTTTATATTCTAAAACCTAGTATAAATTAACTACTTACTTGTTTTATAATATTTTTAGATAGAAATAATTATAGTTAGCTAATTAATAAGTTCTAAATCTAGAATAATTAATAATTTATGGTTATTATATTAAAAGGTTATAGTCTATATTATTAAGGTTAGGTTTATTAGGGTATAAGAGGTCATGTATAAACTAAATCTACTAATCCGGTATATACGCGTAGCCTCTTTATTATTACAAAAAACCTTACACTCTACTTATTAATTAAAGAATATTCTAACTTATATAAAATAGTATAGAAAAAGAAACCTGTAACGAATACTCAAACTGGCTAACTAAACTTGGCTGGGTGTTCGCTGGTTGGTATGCTATGATAAGAAGAAGACTATCGGGTTGTTCACTTGGAAGTGAACTCGTTACTTGTATCAAAGATGTCAAACTAATATGATAAGATTGATAACTAAGTTGAGCACGAAGCTCCTATCTGAATGGCAGACGTGCCAGTCTTATATAGAACCTTCGTTCTCAGAATACTACTACTTAAGGAATGTTGGTCGACAACCAACTCTGTCGACCAGGTCGACAGGTCGACGAGTCGACCAGTCGACTATCACGTGACCAACATGTTGGTAAAGGTATACATCCATATACATTATCCAACCAATTAACGGCTCCTGCTTACATAAGAAAACTCCCTTTGGTTTCCCAGAACACATAAAGCTCCCAGGCCCATATGTGCTCGGCTTGTCATGACGCCGTCTGGTCTTCACTTGTCACGTGTGCACGTGATTCGTGACACTAACCTCTCTCTTAAAAAGAGAATAAGAAGGAATTAATCTAAAAACTATATAAAGTTCTACTATATTAATAAGCTTAGTACCTAAATAAAGAAGAGCGAATAGTAAAAGTATATCGCGTATACCTAGACTATAATAATATAAATATTATAAGTTATAAAGTTTTATATAGTACTCTTTAGTATAAAGCTAAAGAACGTTATAAAATAACTATAAGTCTTAGTAAAAAGAATTAGCGTTTAGGTATAAACCTTAAAACTATCTTAATATTATATTAAGTTATAACTTAACTATATTAAAATTAGTAGATATCTACTTAGTTATAAGTTAATATAAAATAAGTAGCTAAGACTATTTTATATTTAATTAATAATAAAAGAGAACTTCTATGTAACGAATACTCAAACTGGCTAACTAAACTTGGCTGGGTGTTCGCTGGTTGGTATGCTATGATAAGAAGAAGACTATCGGGTTGTTCACTTGGAAGTGAACTCGTTACTTGTATCAAAGATGTCAAACTAATATGATAAGATTGATAACTAAGTTGAGCACGAAGCTCCTATCTAATGGCAGACGTGCCAGTCTTATATAGAACCTTCGTTCTCAGAATACTACTACTTAAGGAATGTTGGTCGACAACCAACTCTGTCGACCAGGTCGACAGGTCGACGAGTCGACCAGTCGACTATCACGTGACCAACATGTTGGTAAAGGTATACATCCATATACATTATCCAACCAATTAACGGCTCCTGCTTACATAAGAAAACTCCCTTTGGTTTCCCAGAACACATAAAGCTCCCAGGCCCATATGTGCTCGGCTTGTCATGACGCCGTCTGGTCTTCACTTGTCACGTGTGCACGTGATTCGTGACAGAAACCTCTCTCTTAAAAAGAGAATAAGAAGGAATTAATCTAAAAACTATATAAAGTTCTACTATATTAATAAGCTTAGTACCTAAATAAAGAAGAGCGAATAGTAAAAGTATATCGCGTATACCTAGACTATAATAATATAAATATTATAAGTTATAAAGTTTTATATAGTACTCTTTAGTATAAAGCTAAAGAACGTTATAAAATAACTATAAGTCTTAGTAAAAAGAATTAGCGTTTAGGTATAAACCTTAAAACTATCTTAATATTATATTAAGTTATAACTTAACTATATTAAAATTAGTAGATATCTACTTAGTTATAAGTTAATATAAAATAAGTAGCTAAGACTATTTTATATTTAATTAATAATAAAAGAGAACTTCTATGTAACGAATACTCAAACTGGCTAACTAAACTTGGCTGGGTGTTCGCTGGTTGGTATGCTATGATAAGAAGAAGACTATCGGGTTGTTCACTTGGAAGTGAACTCGTTACTTGTATCAAAGATGTCAAACTAATATGATAAGATTGATAACTAAGTTGAGCACGAAGCTCCTATCTAATGGCAGACGTGCCAGTTTTATATAGATCCTTCGTTCTCCTTAAGTCACAAAGTCGACAACGACTTTGTCGCCCTGCATATATCACGTGACCCTCTACATGTGAAATCCTTGGATCGAGAGA